CCGACGATGCCGTGGTCGCCATGGCGCCCATCAGCGGCGACCTGAGCCAGCAGTGGCTCCGGGCGGGCGGCCAGTGGCTCTGGGGCGCCAACCACGCCTTCTGCTTGGTGCCCGTCGACGGCACCAACGACGTAGGTCTGGGCGACGCCAACGCGTCCTCGGTGTCCTGGAGTTACGACGAGGCCAGTAGGATCGTGGTGGGATCGGATGCCCTGGACGTGCCCCTGGAGGAGCCCAGAACGAGGGTCATTCTGTCTCCTGCGAACGATGACGCCACGCAGACGTGGACGATTGACCTCGTGTCGCCTGAGGAGCCGGAATACCTCATCAACCAGAGTAGCAAAACCTGCCTCGGAGTGCGAAAGGGGTCGACGCCAAGCACCGCGGAGGTCGGAATGCTCAACGGCAACGGACTCAAGGATCAACAGTGGTTCTCCGCGGGTGACTCGTGGCAGTGGGGCGGCGACCGGTCCTACTGCCTGGGCCCCGATTACGACGTCCGAACCGTAATCCTTGAGGAGAGCAGCAGTTCAACTTCAGTTTGGTACATGGACGAGTCTGAGAGATTGAGGATTGGAGACTATGCGCTAAATGTTCCCTTGCAAACTCCGAAGACGGCCGTCGTTTTGGCCACCCCCAACAACACCAATCATCAAAAATGGTGGAAATTCTCCGATCTAAAAACTTCTCTTGAGGGAACAGAACCGCCCGTGTATCCCTTCCCAGGCAGCGATGAAACCTCCTACAAGCAAGAAATATCGCGTGGATTAGTAAACATGCTGACCCCTAAGAGCGATCCGCTGCCTCATCCTCGTGACGTCCCTACCTTCCCTGGCACAGTTGACCCTGAAACGCCTCGGGTAACGAAGAATGTTATTCTGAACCTCTCGGTTCTTGGCCATGACAGAGATTTCCGTATGGTAGTTCCAAAAGACTGGCAGGCAACGGATTTGTATGTGGCAGAAGGAGACATCTGTCAGATTATTCTGCCAGAGAATTTAACGATTGACCAGGCCTTGCAGATCACTGTCCGCATCGGCGCTCACAAAGACAAACTCAATCCTCACTCAGGTACTGTAGAGAATAAGACGTTCAAACGAATGCCAGTTGTGTCCGAGGTCTTCGATCTTTTCCCGGGTGTCAACGAAATTCGCAGTCAGTATGGAGGAAACCTGATATTCGTTTTCACCGAAGGGGAAAATTTTATGGTCAATGCAGAAGTCAGGAATGTGGTTGAAGCCCCGTATTTCCGGTATGGCGTTACCTCCGCTGAGGACTGGCAAGCTATCAAGACGCGAGATGCGCCGCACGCAGTACTGGAGTCAGACAAGTGCGTTCTCGTCGTGCCTTCGTCGGCCGCTCAGGAACTCACGGACCCTGATCTGCTGATGGCTCGCTATGATGAGGTTCTCGCCTTGGAGAATTACGCAGCAGGTTTCGATAAGACGGAAGCTCCTCCTCGAGGGAGATATTGGTTGGTTGGCGACATTCAGATTTCAGGGGGAACTGCACACTCTGGCTTCCCTGTCATGTTCAACCGGCAGAACAATGATCTTGCAAACGTGGAAACCCCCTACAGCTGGGTGACCTGGCACGAACTAGGACACAACCACCAGCAGGGGCCCTACTGGTGCAACGCTTACGGCACCGAATCGACCGTGAACCTTTTCTCACTCTACGTTCAGGAGCAGCTGTTCGGCACCGACAGACTCGAGGAAGACAACAAGTACGTGATGTCAGCTGACAAGGTCGACGGCGGGATGACCTTCGCCGAGGGGAACTTGTGGGACAGGCTGGTGTTCCTGATGGAGATCAAGCACGCCTTCCCCGAGGGATGGGAGATGTTCCGCCAGCTCTTCCGCACGACTCGCGCTCTCTCCGACGATGAGGCCGACTACTTGACGAAGGATGTCCAAAGGCAGATCGACCACGTGTATAAAACTCTGAGTATAATTGTGGGATACGACCTGGTGCTGACCTACGAACGATGGGGCCTCAGTCTGAGCCAAGAGGTCAAGGACGAAATCGAGCTACTGGGCTTAGAGAAAGCCCCAGGGAACCTTTCCCACAGGCCTCCTTTCGCCGGCAAAAAGCAAAAATAAAAGCGTACTGAAGATTGGCATGAAGAGACGGACTATTTAAATATGGAATAGACTCTGCATATTTAGAACGTAATTGGATTTAATGTATATTTACGGCTACAAATTATGGAATATGTAAAAGAAATATGAAAGGTGATTACAAAACCAAGTAAACAAAACATAAAACATTGCAATAATCACTTCCTCTTGTTTATGTTCTTGATGATTGATCATAACCATGATTATCATAAGTTTTACCTTATTCTCTCTAAAGAAATAAATGATTGCTGGAAATACTAAAATCCCACTACTACTACTCCTTGGCAGAATGAAATACCATATATTAAGACACGTGATTATCTCACATGGCAGCTGATTGTACTACCGATACTTTTAAATAAAATACGAAAAGATAAGAATGACTTTTATTAAGGAAGGCTTATTTATATGGAGGAAGTTAATGATACTTCTCCGTTCTTGAAGAAAAATACATGTTGATCCCAAGATGTGAGATTCTCTCCATCTCCTACATTGTTAATTAAGAAATTTTAATGTTCTTTATTTTAGCTCTTGTATATATATATGCATGTAAATGTGCAAACATCCGCAGACGCAATATATACACGCGTAAACACACACACACACGCACGCACACACACACACACACACACACCACACACACACACACACACACACACACACACACACACACACACACACACACACACACACACACACACACACACACACACACACATATATGTATATATATATATATATATATATATATATATATATATATATATATATATATATATATATATATATATATATATATATATATACATATCGTATCAATGAGATGTAATGTAATTTTACCTATGTTGAAATAACACCAAAAATCTAAATGATAATAACAAATGATGATTGAAATATATACATACATACATACATACATACATATTGCCTTCACCATCATCCTCATTGCCATAATATTTGCATTTTCCTTGTAATCGTCCCCATTCCCTTATACTATAGAGCCAATGGAAATAATATAATAATCAGCCATAATCATTATGATAAACTACGATGTCATCAGAATAACAGCGAAGATATTACTATATAAATACAAGCGATAAGTATCCATGATCTTATTTGCACTGTAGAACACTATGAATATTTACAATAACTATTTTCTCTGATGTGGTGTTGAAATTCGTAAATACAATAGTTAGTCCTAAGAATAAGTTTTCTTTATATGATCATATTTTTGTTTTCTTTTATAATTTTACACGTAAACTATTATAAATAAATACGACCTCTTGAAATGATATTCATAGTTGAATTGATATTTGCAACATTATCTATCAGTATTCTCTTTAAAGAGCTAAGAAATGATACCAGAATTCAGCAAACGATACGTTTTTGTTCCATATATTGTTATCATGGGACCTAAAATCCAAAAAATTGCCTTGGACTGAGCTTTAATTAATACGTTTTCTCAATAATTTCCAGCTGCTTCTGACAAGCTGTTAACATACTGGCGCCTTCTATTTGTATTGTCTTATATGTAATATCGGAAAAGTTTTAACTATTCTAATTCTGAACATAATATGACGCACCAATGAACTGATGGTAATTAGATCTATAATAACAATAATGATGATTGTCATAATAATCTTGATATCAGTATAACAATATTAATTATAACAACGATTATGATTGTAAGGAGATTGATAATAATAATGATAGCGATTATAATATTAATGATAATAATAATAATGGTAACAACAACAATGTTAATGTTAATATCAATGATAACAATAATAATTAATGATATAAATAATCGTAACGATAATAATAGTCATTATAGTAATAAAAGTTTAATAATATCAACAATAGTAATGATGATGATAGTTTTAGTGGCAGAATTGTCAGCATTAGTAGTTGTAAAATAATAATAACATATAATGATAGAGATAACTATGATTAATATCGTATTAACTATAACAGCAACAACAGTAATCATGATAGTAATAAGGATAATGACTTTTGGCAGTACTAGTATTACTGATAACAATAACATAATAACAACAGAAGCAACAGGAATAAAGATGATATTGATTATTAGTTAATCGATACTAAAGATAGGCAAACTGAGTGATGATGATGCCAATGATAATAGTAACAGAAATGTAGTAGATTTTGAATGAATATCATAAGAATGGTAGTAGTGGTAATAGTGGTAGTAGTAGTAATAGTAGTCGTAGTAATAATAGTAGAAGTAGTAATAGTAGTAGTAGTGGTAATAATAGTAGAAGTAGTAATAATAGTAGTAGTACTAGTAGTAATAGTAGTAAGTGTAGTAGTAGTTGTAGTAATAGTAGTAATTGTAGTAGTAGCAGTAGTAATAGTAGTTGTAGTAGAGTAAAAGTAGTAAAATTAATGGTAACGCGTTAAATAAGAAACGTGATGGCAATAACAATGATATCAACAATAATGAGAATTACCGTAATAAACAACAACATCACCCACAGCAACCGAACCGACCGCCACCGCCTGCGTCCCGAGCCAATAACATCTCCATTCCGAGGTCCGCCCGCTCGCCCCGTCTCCCTCGCCTAAACTGGGTCAGAGGTTCTTCGTGGTGGCCGGTTTCACGCTACCCGGCCAAGGCGACGTCTTCTTGGAGAGAAAGAGAGAGAAGAAAAGAAAAAGAGAAAAGAAATAAAAAAGGAAAAAAAGCGTTTGTATCGAGAAGGCGCGCAGGCTTTTCTCCAGACTTCCCCAAAAGGCAATTTTCAAAGAAATTTCGACTGACGCTGGGGACAAAGTTTGCGCCATGTGTCACACAACAGCTTTCCAAACGAGAGGAAAAAAAAGAGGAAATTGTGTTTCTGTGTGCGTGTTGTATTTTTG